GTTGGCATTGGCATAGCGTCAACAAATGCTGTCGAAACTCAAAGAGTTACAACTCTTTAAAAACAATTTTAAGACTGAACATGCTCGCCTGACTCAAAGGGCCGAAGCCGCCGAGTTTGTCGTGCAGGGGTTTCAACTTAAGCTTAAAGAGTCTGAAAAACTGGCTAAGAAAGCCAATGACGAGCTTATTACTTTGAAACAGGAAAATGACCAGCTGACTGAAGGTCATAAAGTATTGAAAAAGAACTTTGAGGATTCAGACCTCCGGGTAGCCGAGTTGGAACTGGAAGTAGAAACTCTGAAGAAGCAAGTTAGATCGCTACAACAAGCTGCCGAGAACATGAACTCTAAATATGTTGCTTTTGGTCATCAAATTCGTGGTTGGGATGTCGACCAAGTGAAGTTCTTTCACCCGGATGTTGCCCTTACTAACTTGGATAAAATCGACACCTTCAACTTTGTTGATAATGGCCGACTATGCACTCATAATGAGAAAGGATCTATTACCGTGCTCGCCACCTGTCCTGCCGAGTTCGTGGGCGTCAACTTCTGATAAGACCACCTCGTAGGACACCCCAAAAGATGCTTGAAGGAATGGGATGCCACTTTTATTTTGTACTTATTTTAGTTTTTTGCTTAAATGACTTTTGGTTCTGTAATGACTATGTCTGTTGAATCTTTGAATATCTGTTATTTTACTACTTCTTCAATTACTTGGTATATTTCTATCTTTTTACTTTGATCCGACTACTTTAAGAGCTCGCTATTGTATCATCGCAACTTGGTAAAATTTGCTTTTGCTATATTTCAATAACAAGTTATCTCATTCAAAACTCTTCTCGATTAATGTTTTAGAATGATTACTTTGAAACTTTTGGCCCTGTTTCCGAGTTGGAAATGAGCAAGTGCCCATGAGGCCATGGAAGACGGACATGGGACTTTTGGCCCTGCTTCCGAGTAGGAAATGAGCTGGTGCCCATGAAGCCATGGAAGGCGGCATGGGACTTTTGGCCCTGATTCCGAGTAGGAAATGATCAGTTGCCCATGAGGACATGGAAGGCAGCATTGATGACCAAAAGCAACATATTTAGAGTCCATGTTCTCGGCAGCTTGTTGTAGCGATCTAACTTGCTTCTTCAGAGTTTCTACTTCCAGTTCCAACTCGGCTACCCGGAGGTCTGAATCCTCAAAGTTCTTTTTCAATACTTTATGGCCTTCAGTCAGCTGGTCATTTTCCTGTTTCAAAGTAATAAGCTCGTCATTGGCTTTCTTAGCCAGTTTTTCAGACTCTTTAAGCTTAAGTTGAAACCCCTGCGTGACAAACTCGGCGGCTTCGGCCCTTTGAGTCAGGCAAGCATGTTCAATCTTAAAATTGTTTTTAAAGAGTTGTAACTCTGAGTTCCGATAGCATTTGTTGACGTTATGCCAACAGCGCCATTTCATAGTAGTGGGCTTCACAGAGAGAATTATCTCGAATATTTGTAAACTTGACAATTAATTGCTCCAAGGAAAACTTGTCCCATTTTTCGCGGAGCCTGGGAGTGAAGCAAGGCTGTAATTTTTTCATGATTAGAGGATCCGAGAAAGGAGTGGCAATAACAGAAGACGGAGGAGTTAAAGACTTTTCCGTAAGAGATTCAGATCTGGGTTCATTAATCCGAACTCGCTTTCGGGGTTGAGGTTCTCCAGAATCAACAAGCGGGTCCATATCTAAAATCACAGTCTCTTTTGATATGGAACCAGTAGGAGAGGTAGCCGGAATGGAAGAAGGAGTAGGAGAACCTTCTTTTTCACCAGAAGACGAGGAGCGAATCTTCTTCCCAGATACAGTTGAGTCTCCTTGGTGAGCAGCCTTTTGTTTTTTACGAGCAAAAAATGAGGGATCCATGATGGTCTTATCTAAAAACAATACATGAGTGCAAAGTTAAAAGTCAAGTACATAGGATAATATAACAACAAGAGGTTAGTCACTTACTTAATTTCTTGCAAATCCAAGCAGGAGAATCTTTATTTGCTAAAATAGACTGAGGAGTGATAGAAATATTTTCTTTTGCTAACTCGGAAGTCAGCTTTTGAAACCAAGTAAAAGTTTCAAGTTGGTTAGTACTCAAATTCTTTGAGTTAGTTAAAAATGCTTTAGCAGGTGTACTATAATGATGTTGGTTCCAACTGAGAGGGAATCGATGAGCTTCGTCCTGATCTTGAAAGAAAGCAAAAGGAGTGGCAGATTGAGAAGAAGAAGAAGAAACAGATGGTGTAGCCGGAATATCTTCAGGTATACAAATCTTGAAATAATCTTCCATGAAGTTCTTCCAATTGTCTTCGTATATAGTACACCAGCGAAATCCAGGGCGAGCTTTTAAGGAAACTCAACTCAGAAGGTGAACATATACGTTCTTCTTCTCCGGGTGCAGCAATCCAAGCCAATAGCCAGAATCCCTTGTTGAGCTCCTCCGAGTTGTCCATTCCAAACGGGTACATCCTGCTCCCTATTGGCCATTTGTCTATTGCCATAATGAGGACCCAAGCCTTCTGCCTGCCCTGGTCCGTAATGCTGATAATCCCAATTCGCTTGTCGCCTTCCATCTCCTTGACTTTGATCACTACCCCAGTAATGGTACTCGGTATCGTCTCGTGGAACTTCACCTCTGCGATTGCCATAATTTCTTCCTCCTTCCGGCCTCAACCTTTGATAAGTTTCTTCATATCGACCTCTGTTTACCTCTCGTTCATCTCGTCGTGTATAACCTTGACGGGCTCCTAAATACTTTTCTTCCTCCCATGTCACCTCTTCTTCCACCTGTTCATCTTCTCTATTTTGATATTGCCTAGCCCGGCCCGTTCTCCGGGCATAATCCTCAGGTATCCTTTCTCCTATCCGCGGATTTGCTCCTCGTCCTCCGCCTTGATAGCCTCCCCTTTCTGGAGAAGCCCTTGACTCTTGACAAAGTTGTCCTCTCCTCCCTTCATTTCTTCTATTTCCCCCCACCGTTGGAGGTGATAAAGGAATATAGCTAGGAAGAGGAGACAAAGAATCTCCTCCTCTGTTGGGTGATTGTTGCTCATTCTCTACAGGATGCCTTTCCTCTGCTCCACGTCTCCTTTGCCCTCCTTCTAAATGTTTCCTATTCCTGATATCCTCCACTAACTGAATCAAAACTTCTCCAATGGTGTCCAGAGACCGACTCCTTCCACTGGATCGGAAAGAATCTTCCTCTCCTAGGTATCCTCCGTCGTCTACTGCTCCCTCATCATGGTAATTGCTTGCCATGACTCAAGAAAATGCGTAGGAATCTTTTTACCTTTCCCCACAGACGGCGCCAAATGTTCTGTATAAACATTAGTATGATTATTGTCTATCTCTGTTAATTATGGTCTTTGGTATATATAACCCTTCCATAGGTGGTTATTGTGAACGTGGGTAGTTATAGAAACCCATCATGTAATCGTGGTAGGGTCCACTTTGGGTTATAGTATTTTGGCCGGCTTCCCTTCCAGGTAAAACCCCATCCGGGTTCTATCAACTCTTCTCCTTGACTATTGATATCTGGATGTATAAACCCGGAACAACTTTGTTGATGACACTTCACATATTCATCATATCAAATGAGGGTTATTGCACAATACTTACTTGTTAGGGGCCAAAAAACCCACATGGGCCAAAAGCCATATGGGTTAAGGTTAGTCCTTGGGACTTACATAAGCTACCCTGTATGTATAACGAAAGGTTCTATGGTCTGTTTGATATGTGTACTAAGACTCTGAGTACGGAGATTACATAGACATGTTTGTCAACCTTTGTTTACTTTTTATATTTTTCTTGTAAGATAGGCTTCTATATATGTCTATTTCACATACTAAGGAATCCACGATCTCACTTATACATGCAACCGTTCCCGTTTGTTTGCTTAGAACTATGAGAAAGATGGAATCTTACTTCATGCGGTCGTAAATATTTCAAAGCTTACATATTGGATTTCAATCAAATAAAACACTGTTGGGCAAGTTGAGAAGTAATACAACAGTCATAAACTGTTTTCTTTCACTCTGCTCAAACACGCTTGGTAACTAGTATTTTTTTCTTGTGCAGTATAATGCTCAGTATATATATATGGGGCATGATCCTTTGACACAGGTGTCAAATTTGAAGTTTGACACCTCATCTGAGAGTCGTTAGATCAAAAAAGATCAACAACTCTGATTTGTAAGCATGTGGCACCATTGATATTTTTTGATCTAACGGCTCTCAGATGAGGTGTCAAACTTTAGATTTGACACTGGTGTCAAAGGATCCTATCCCTATATATATATATATATATATATATATATATATATATATATAATGTAATCCAATCTAGACCCTGAATATAGTGAGAGCTTTACAGCAACAATATGATTAATAGCAGAACCCTTCTCAATTATGCAAACTAAAATAAAGAAGTTATTGCCTATTAGCAGCACCAATATGCACAATTGTACGTTTCAAATGAAATTGTATTGTAATAGACTTTGCTGGTGATGATGTATTCATATGCATGAGATTACAAAGATTACCTTACACCTAACTGCAATATTGATAGCATCTGAAGGTCGAAGATCAAAGCTCATACATTCTGCCTCATACAAAGATCCACTTCTGAATTATAACAAGATCAATATACTTTTAACTTCACAAAATCGCAAGTTTCAAGAGTTAAGAGATAAGAGTCAAGACTCAAATGCACCAAATGTATAAAAGAGACCAGTTTTTGCATTAGCAATGTCTAAGAAAGAAGCATGTTTGATAAATAAATGGTATATTACTTACGGCTATGCCTTTCAGATTGAATTTCTTCTCCTTTTTGTTGATTTCAAGCATGAGTTTTGCAAGTTGGGGTACATAATGGCCTGATATTTTTTTATTAAGAAAAACGCGTAAGAACAAATTAAAGTGATTCTGCATGAAGGGTGAAGTGACGTGACATTTTACCTGCAGAACTTTCCCCTGTTAGAAACAAATCTGTGTCTGTATTGAGGGAACTTGTTGAACCAGCATTGCAAGAATGCAAGATTGTCCCCAGCTTAAGAAATAAAAAAGTACTGCTTCAGATGACAGAACAAAATAAAGACTATTGGCTGATATAAGTCATCACACTCAATATCATTTGCTGCAAGTTTTTCAGCAATGTGGTTTCTGTTATCTTGAAACTGAATAACTAGTTAGATTAAGCTAACCACATACGGATAAAAGTCAATAACTAGTTAGATAGATTATCAATCACTACAAATTCTAGAAAATGAGAGATATGATGTGGAGTCCTCAACCATAATAATAAATTCCTATCTTTCAAAAGCCACTGAAATGTTGGAATCAATGTACTACTTGTAGCATTACAAACCTGCTGAGACAACCTGTGTGAACCAATAGGCTTTGCAAAAAGGATCCCACCATAGCAAGATAAAAAAACATTGAAGAAGGCACTAAGCCAGCCATATGCAGAAAAATGGGGGTATTATAATTCGTAAAGCACAAGGTTCATATGCGGAAAATCAGACTGAAAAAGCAGTGACTTTTACAATCCACCAAGTACACCAACATATGTACCACAAAAGCTTAACAAAATCATCAAAATAGAAACTGAAAGCACAACTAATTTTTGAAGCACAATACAACTGAAAATACACAATGGTCAATCAATATCAAGGGCAATTGAGGTCGAACAGGTAGCAACTTGTTGGAAAACCTTATCTGCAAAATATATATATATATATATATATATATATACATATATATATAATTAATTATTAAATCACAAATTGCACGAGTTCATAGTTGATGATAAATGGAAAAACAACTTGCAGACATGAACCAAACAACTTGCACGAGCTCACAGTTGATGATAAATCAAAAACCCATTAGTGAAACAAAACCAAAATCAAAAATAAAAAAAAGAATCTGAAAACATAGGTCAAGGAACTGTAATTACTAGAATCCCTGAATTACTAGGATTGAAAACAAACCAGATACTCACAATACTCACTCCCATTAAGCTAAGCCACCAGCCACTGTGACCAATTGGATGAGAACGAGCAGCCTTGCAAGGAGATTCGATACTGAAGAGGATTATAGTTAGATGATTGAGACGGTGAACTTAGAGGGTTCATGAGCGGAAGAAGATTAGGGTCCGATAGATCTATGATTTGATTCTGAATGATAAGTTGTTGTGTTAGCTGTAAATGGTTTGCTTTGGTTCGAACTGGTTACAAATCAGGTATGAATCGGTTCGTAACTGAATTATTTTAAAAAGTTAAAATCGGTTCAAGTTTATGACCTGGCTTAAAAAACCAGTTATTTTGGTTCAGTTTGGTGCGGTTCCTTTTTTTGAGTATTTTGCACACCCCTACTAAAGAGGCAACACTGCAGGAAAATGGGGAAGGGGGAGCATGGAAAAAATTTACACTAAAATCCCAACAGACCAAATAGCACTTCAAACATATGCTGACAGAATTCAAAATGGGATTAACAGGAAATCCCAGTTCATCACCTCATACGACCATGGCACCAGAAAATGGATGATGATAATAGTCGTAAAATCCTCTTTTTTCAATCCAAGAAGTACCCTTACCCAGCTCATATATGTTGCAGAAGGCTGAGGACCCAGAGAGTAATACCCAGCACAAGATCCTGAGAAATAGAATGAATGCCTTATTAGACTAATCATTTGTTTAACTCATTAATCATGATCAATCAAATTGGATACTAGAAGCATAACAAAAATACAAGTCAGCTTCCTGTCATTTTGATATCAATAGAGTACTCATCGAGCTAAAACTTTCAGCAAGTAATCTTATATAAAACCTTATATGGGAGGCAGAGAAAACTTTTCAAGCAAGTGAAAAAATAAAAAGATTGATTAAGCATATGGTCAAACAAAAAAGAATGCAATAGCAGAGAGAGCGATTTAAATACTGAATATATTGGGCTTGTTTGTGTTTTTCAGGAGACAAAATACAGCTGGCTTAAAGATTAAGCAGTTAACCAATGCCCACTAAGGAAGTCAATGTTGGGCAATAATGAGAATACAGGACTACTGCAATATGGTCCACATCTCAATATTTCATTCTGGCATCAGTTAAAAAGTTGTTTCCTGAAACGTTCTGCTAACTGATAAGTCACTACTCAAGTAACAAAATTCTAGAGCTCCTAGATGAATCCCCATGTAAACTGCAACATGGTAATGAGTATTCCACACAGCCAAGAGGGGGAAAGGGGGAGACATGTACTAACAAAAGTGAAAACTTTTTGCTTGAACAATGGCTTTCAGAATTACATATACCCTGTACCCATCCTTGCAAACTTCAATGCCTCACAAGGCAGCATAGCAAACGTGTTGATGATAAAAAAAAAAATTATAAGAACCGTCCTCTCTCCCTAGTCGCTACCAATAGAAACTGATAAAAATTACAACCCTAATTTCCACAAAAATAAAAGGGTCAAGAATATATAAAGCTAGATTGGTATGTAAACCAAAAGAACCTAGATCAATACAGAAAAATAACAAATATAACTACTGCAAAAAATAGTTTAACATAATTTGACAATATTATTTATCTCAAAATATATAAAATAACACTTCTCATTAAACCCTAACTATCGGGGGTGGGGTGAGGGCAATCCTATAATTGTAAATGAAGGAAAAGACATTGACAAAAACTCAATAAGCATAATAAAAAAAAGGAGAAAGTAACTCAAGACCTACTTACTCTCACTCAAACTATTGAGAGTTTATAAATGTTGCAAAGCTGAAGCAATGCTGCTTGATTCACAGGATCAACATTTTCACAGATGACCTTAGGATACCTCCCAGGGGAAAGTGCAGCAAGTCGGGACAATGAAGCAACAAAAAATTCCTTGGGATCTCGTATATCTTTAAGTGGATCTTCTTCTTTCTTTCCAGCATTGTAAAGACGGACAAAGGTGGCAGTATAACCCACATTTTCTGTAATATCTGGCATGTCAGGTTCCTCCTCAGCCCTATCCTCTTCTGGCCGGGAAACAAGTGTGACGATGCTGTCCACCATCTTACCCCAGGACACAGAAGCAGCCGGATCTAAAAGGACTGGAGACTCACCGATAAGTCTGGTTGAAGCAACTGCAGTCAATTTGAGCTCTATAGCTCCAGTAATCAGCTTAAGATTAGGAATCCAGAACTGATTCAAAATCAAAACAAATATACCAGGCTGAACACTGTTCATAGTATCAACAACATTTGAAGAACCGTGTTTAATCAGAAAGAGTGACATAAATATCAAAAGAGACTTGATGAGCTTTACTGTCCGCCTTCTCTGTAGCTCTCTAAAAATAGCAGCCCAAATGTGAGAAATATAAGGTTTGATAGCATCATACTCAAGACTTTCAATGACAGTGTTAAGCACATAAAATCCTTGTTCCGATGAGCCTGAAGATTGTATTAGTGTGTCAAATATGCCAAGCACTTTGGTCAGTCTATCCCCTTGGCTGATCTCATTCGGTGCCTTTTGAAGGAAGGCCTGGAGTAGACGCACAAGGGCAGGAACATTTGGGGCTCTTTTCCACGAATCAGGCGACAAAAGAATCTCAAATATCTGCATGTAGATTGGTGGGATGGGTGGTCTATTCAACTCAACAAGCTGAGCAAGCAACTGAAATGTGTATGGGAAAAACTCAGTCACATCATTTGTCAATATTATTTCAAGCCTAGGAAAAAGGCTTGCTTCAAAGACGGACACAAGAGATAAGTCCCTCTCACAAGCCCGCCTCACAAGAATGGCTACTGACTCAAAGATATAGTGATTGAAGATGGGATTTTTTGGGTTTTTGCAAACTTCCGCAAGAATGGAGCCCAACCCCTCAATGCAAACTCGCGCAACATCAACAGATATATCTGCAACCCCGAGAACCCTCATAATACATTTCATTACATATTGATTCTCTTCAGACTCTGGGAGCTTCAAGGCATTGAAAAGACTGTTCATCAGCATTGCAAAAATTGGATTGATATCTGCCGAAGTATAACGAGCTCTAACCCCCTCATCCTTTACCAACAAGAGTTTTTCAATACAACTTGCAGCATAAGAATGAACAACATTCGATTCGGCAGCAAGGAAACGAACCAAATCTGGGAAAAACTTAAGTACGACATGCTTCGATATTTGTGTCCGGAACATGGTAAAAAATTTGAGCGCACCTGCCTTAAGCATAGGATACCCATTCACATCTGAACTTTGCAGCTCAGGGACAATCACAGATTCAAAAAAGTTTTGAACATCAACAAGTTCCGTGGAGACATAACTGGCTCCAGCCTTCTTGGTTGCAAGAGAGACTACCAAGTATATAGCACAATCCTTGTCCTTCCAATTTTCCCCTGGATTTGCAGCAAATGAACTTAATAAACTTTGCACTTGCGCAGAAACAATGCTTCTGACAGCATCTCCATAATGTGTTGCAATACCCTTAAGTAGCTCACAAGCTATCCTCCTCCTAGTATCAAGATCACTACCTTCCATATCCCTCCTAATAAACTCAATATAATTCATTTCAAACAGTTCCTCGTCTTCTTCCCTCAACCTCACATTCGGGATCACAATGCACTGACAAATCTGCGGTATAACCCCTTCGCCAGCAAACAGAGTATGGTGAACACTGGTGCTAACCGTGGTTAGAAACTTAATCGCCGTGATAGCAAGCTGATCACGGATGGACGACTGGGACACATTCCCCAGCAAAGTCCATACAGCAAGTGCAAAATCATTCAAATACCCCTGAAACTCCTCCTCATTCTTTTCAATGTAGAGATTAATATTCTCACAAACCGCAGCCCTAAGCTCATCCACAAGCGCAACACCATCAGGACCACTGCTCTCAAGAGCAGGATAACTGGTGGTAAGGTATTTCCGAAACTCTCCCATCCACTCTTTCATATGATCCTCGAAGAACTCGGGGAGCTCTTGAAAATTCAACGAGTAAAATATCCTACAGCACAGCTTCTGCGACTCGAATAGGGGTCGCAGGTTCATGGCCGACGCGTCGATCAATGACGCGGTTTTGAGGAAAATTTCGAGCAAAGGAGCAGCGAAATTGTCGAGACAGTACTTCAAATCAAGCAAGAGATCTTTGGTGGCGTACTGGAAACAAAATTTCTTGAAAATAGAGTTAGCAGTGCCGAGAATACCGTTAATGGAGGCGTAATCGGAGACCTGAGACGCTTTCTGAAGACTGGAGACGAGTTCGGGGAGCAAAGCCGGCCAATATTTGGGGAAATCGTGGTTTCCGATAACGGCTAGGGCTTCGCTGAGCTGCGATTGGATCTTGGGAGGGGCGGAGAGCATGAGGGGGACGATTAGGGATTTTATCTGCTCCTTCTCGGGTTCAAGGATGGGAGACTCGACGGAGGACCACCGGAGCCGGAGGTGGTTCTTGAAGTTCACGGAGGCGGCTAGGCGGATCTGCTCGTCGATGGATGGCTCGGCGACAAGGCGGAGAACAACGACGGCAAAGTTTGGTCGATCGGCGGCCTCGGCGAGGGATGATTCGGCGCGGCGGCGAGGTTCCGGCGCCGCAGAGAGAGAGTGGAGGAAGCATTCTGAGAGAAATTGGAGAGTCTGAGCGTTCCACTCCATAGTGGCTAGGGTTTATGTTTTCGAAAATCCGCTTTTGAAATAAAAGGAGATTAGAGGATCGCAGAAAACCAGAGGGTTTAAAACAGAGTGAGACTGTGACAGGGAAAGTGTTTTTTCTTTTGTTTTTGTTTTTTTTTTTTCGAATTTAAAGTGAAACATTGAATATTATTATAAGGAATATTATGAAATCTGGTCTCGTCAGTGACCTAGTCGAGATATTAAATTACTTGATCACTGATTTAGTCAGGGGGTTAATAGTTCGGTAAATATATATAAATTTATAATTTATATTAAAATAACTATAAACATACTAAAATATTATAAAAATAATATTAATTCCAAATATTCTAATATCAAAAATAATAAATCATACATTCTTTTTTTATGATAAAAAATCTTTTGGATGATATAAATCACATATCATTGTTCAACAAAAGATCAAAAAAACATATAAGGGGATGCATTGAATTGAGATTTCAAAGGATTTTAATGGATTATTTTTTAGGACAAACAAATCTGTTAGAATTCGATTAGGATTTTAATGGACTGAAAAAAAGTCACGTGGTATTCGATTAGGATTTTAAAAGATTATTTTAGAATCTGTTGGTATTAAATCAAGATTTTAAACAATAGAATTACAATCTCGTGGTATTCAAAAATTCGACGATTTAAATGAATTTTCTATTGGTGTGAATTTTATGAGACTTTTTAGTGAAAGATATAAATAGGATGCCTCTCTAAAAATCTCATCCTAATCCCTATGATTTCTTGAGATTCTTTTATTGCAGTGTTTTCTTCTTCCTTTTGGCAGGTTGACTACTCGAAATTGGATTCCGTCATGGGAGCTTCGTCAAAACTAAAAAAAACATATTTTTGAGCGATTTTCATCACAAAATAACCCAGAAACAACAAACCAACGAGATTTTAATATAATTTATGGGAAAAGTGTTTGTCATTTTAAATGACAGAAGGTTATGTCATTTTAAGAGAGATACGGACACAAAAAATTTGAATTTTAAATTAAAAAAAAACACTCACTTTCTCTCTCCCATGATTTCTCTTTTTTTGTGTCTATCTCTATCCTAAAATGATAAAATGATATAACTTATGTCATTTAAAATGACAAACACCAAACCCGTGATATATCTCAAAAATAACATATTTTTGAGCCATTTCTGACATATTTTGGAAGTTTAAAAAGTGATTTTTCAAGTTATGAGTCTCGATTTTTCTTGGCACAAAAACGTGTGATTTTTGTATTAAAAACAACATAAAACAGTGAAAAAATAAAGGGAACTAAAACCCTAAAAAAAAATTTGTTTTACATCAATGAAATAATATCATTTTAAAGAAAGATTGAAAACTTTCATAATATAAACCCTATATTTCGTAACAATATATTTATGAATGAAATTCCTTCAACATAGGAAACGATTTTAAACAATTTTTGTGACAATAGATAACTAAAAGCTTGTTTCTCAAAAGCCCCAAAGCAATTTAAGGTTTCAATGTATAGATTGAAAAAAAATTGAGAAATTTTCTAAACTTTCTTGTAATTAAACCCAAAATTTCAGATTCGAAATTTTCTTAAAATATTCAATGAAAACATGCATATGATATATGGTTAGAAAACTCTCATCACATAAAACAAAAACCCCAAGGTTTTCAAGATCAATTGCAAAAAATTCCAAACGAAATTTTATCATGAACTTTAGGTTTTATATGCAAATTTAGAAAAAAAAATTATAATTTAAAAAAATTGGGTTTTATAATCATATATGCATAGCTTTGAAACTAAATGAAGAAACTAATTTTCATCCCATTAGATATGTGAAAAGTTGTTGTTTAGTAATTTTGAATGTTTTTTAAAAATTATATTATGTTTTACTGATTGAGAAAATTATATTGGGTTTTACTTTTATTATTAATTTCATTGCATTTCTTTGATATTTTTTTATGGAGAAGATTATACTTACAACCTATTTTTGTTTACAACCTTTTACAACCATATCTTAACCGTTGATTTCCGTCAATCAATGGTTATTATTTTCGCAAATCAAACTCATTGATTAATATTTAATTTGCAATGAATGATAATCGTTGATTGACTGATATCAATGGTTAAGATATGGTTGTAAAATGTTGTAAACAAAAATAGGTTGTAAGTATAACCTTTCCCTTTTTTATTGACTTTTGTAATTTTGAATTTTTGTTAAAAATTTATATGGTTTTTTAAAATCTTAAAATCCATTTTGTCCTTTCAAATCTTATAAATTCTATTAAAATCCAATCTTACGAAATCTTGATTGTAAAAAAAGTCTTTTAAAAAAGTCTTTAAAATCTCTCCAATTCTGAATAGTATTTTAAAATCTGTAAGATTTTTTATCTCAAAAAAGTCTTTTAGAAAAAATGAAGAAGAAGAAAGAGAGAGAGAGAAAGAAAAAAAGAATTAAGAAGGGAAAGGTAATATTGGGAGTAAAATCTCATTCACCTAATTTTTATTTTATTTTTTATTTTATATGTAAAGCTGGTATTTTGAAGTTATTTGTTTAAAAGCTGTGAAGGTGCTTTTACTCTCTCCAAATATTTTCTTATGAATATTTTATATTCTTTTGGTTTATATGTTATCTTTGGCTTTGTAGATTTGATGAATTTATTTAAATTACTTGGAAGAATTATCTTGAATCAAGGTTATAGAATTAAGCAATGCTGTGAAAACCAAACTGGTCGGGTCGAACCGGTCATCTGACCGGTTCAATTATCACAATGGATGACCAAGTACCAGACCCCATGGGACTCGGTCAGTTTTGGTGAAAATCGGTGACCCGACCGAGGATTTAAAAAAAAAAAATTCAAAAAAAAAGTTTTTAAAAAAAATTCAGAATTAACATATTTGAGTGATCAATTAATTATTGACTTACATAAGTTATGTACCTATAATAGTAATATTATCTCAGTTATGCACTATGCAAGAAATTTTGATTTTATTTATAGTTAGAGATGTCGTTTACTGAGCCTGAAACACCAATATCACAAGCATTATATGTTTGTTTGATCCTTTATTGGATAATAATGTTTAATTTATTATTTTTTATATTAAAATATTTATAATTTAATTTTTTTCAGCTATTTGAGTATGTTTATAATTTTTTAATATAAATTATAGATTTACATATAATCACCGGGTCATGCGGTTGAACTAGTGACCAGTACCTCGATCGGGTCAATGACCGGGCCAGTTTTAATAACATTGGAATTAAGAATTCCTCTGGTACCAAATGTATATTAATGGTATGTAATCTTTTACTGAATGATTCTGATGTAACTGGCCCACAAGTGGACCAAGATGGTTATAAGGTAAAGGACACCCTATCGTAGCTTGAGCTCTGCCATACAGAACCTTTCACATATAGAACCCGCAGAATTTGGGCGCTCATTTTGTTTGAGCATTAGTCTTTTCAGTTAAATACTATACGTTCCTTTATATGTTTGTATGCAGAAATCCACAAAGGTTTGGGTAGAACCCACAAAAGTCTGGGTATATGCTTGTTGAGAACCCACAAAGGTCTGAGCTTATAGTTATTATTCAGATATTATTTTCTTATTATAAATATATTTTTGGAGAATGATATTTTCCACTAAAGTGACTGAATTGATTATAGTTCGAAAATTTCAATATTACTGAGATTTATCTCACGTTTGTTTGTTTTCATGCTAACATTTCAAAGAATAAACGGGCTAGTATCTGTAGTTTTGGAGTGAAATAAAGCACTATGATTAAAGATATTGAAGACTGTAGGAGTCTAGTGGATTTTTCAATCTAGATTATGATGTATTTCAGATGTAATAATGAACCTGACTTCTGTATAATTAAATTTTAAGAATATTTTATCACATGCCTTAGTTCTTAACCGCTACTTAGATTTAAAGGGTGTTTCTTTTAAATTAATGTGATATCCTCTATGCTAACTAATTATAAGGGATGTTACACCGATTTTCAATGGTTCCAATATTTGACTGATCCGCTGCTTCACCCAGACCAGTTACATCATTAGTTTATCAATTTCTGGGCCGGTCCCATTTTTTAACATTGATTATAACCTTTTTTCCAAAAAAAATTTATAGCCATTTTTTTAATTTTTTTAATTTGAACATAATTTGACGAAAAATAATCAATTGACTAGTTCAAAAATAAATTGATTTCTTTGAATAATAATAAAAAATTATTTTATTGGGTCATTCCCGTTATATTCTACTAATTTTTTATTTCTCTTATCGTTATAATGTAACCCACTTATTTTTTTTACGAGTGTGACGAAAAATATTTTTGTTTATGTCAAATTAAAATAAAGTGTACACAACTATACATTATTATCTCTTAAGAAAAATGAGTGTTTTTTTTTTTAAAAAAAAGGCTGTATAATTTTAAATATCTCTTAAGAAAGAGGAGTATTTTAAATAAACAAAATTTTAATATTTCTTAATTAATGAAGTAGATGATAGCAATCTATGAAGCACCGACACTTCAAAAACCCTGACGTGTCGTGTCCGACACTTTCTGATATTTCCCGACATTCCAACACATGTTATATAAATTCAAAAAAAGATCAAAGATTGCATTGCGTTGAGTTTTTAGTTCCAACTATTAGATTCGTTGTATTACGATTACCCTTTAATATAAATATTTGTGATATCTTATGTTTCTTTGCAAAATTGATGAATATTTTAAGTTTAGTTTCATATTTTTTAAATTATTAAATATTAAATATAATATACAATACGTAAATTAAAAATATTATTTAATATCAAAACGTATCCTAACGTGTCTAAATCTAATATTTTTTATAATTACGTGTCGTCGTGTCGTGTTGTATCGTATCACGTGTTCCGTATCGATATCGGTGCTACATAAATTTTAAATAAACAAAATTGTATTAACTGTTAGATTAAAAATATCACATTGCTATGTCATATTATTAATTATCTTGATTCACCCCTGTTTTTAATGATAAATAGTAAAAATTAAGACAAATATAATCAGCGATAGAAAATATAT